GGAGTCGCTGGAGACTGAACCAGGTCTTTAACGTTAGAAGGTTTAGGAGCCACAGAACTGAAAACTGTCCCACATGAAGCTCCTCTCTTCCTCCTCATTGCGACACAGCTGCTCCCTCCGCCTCATACCTGCCATACCTGACCCGTTACCTGTACAGGTGTGCGTTATTGGTGCCGGATGCTGTCTCCGTGGCAACCTTCCAGCATCAACATCAACAGGTGATCCCCAGAAGGCCCGAGGCGACGCTGCCGAGCGGCGAGGGCAGCGTGAGGTAACGGTGCCTGGACGTTAATCACTGGAACAATAACGACGCTGCAGACGCGACTCATCGCTGTGATGTAACCTGGAGCTGCACATTCACAAGCATGACTCAGCACCGTCACAGCGACATCACAGGTGATTAAAGATCAGAAAGAAAGTGAGTCTGAAGAGGAGAGGCTCATAATGTGAACTCTGTGATCAGTGCTGAGGTGTCTGCTGGATGAACTCTGCTGCAGGAATGTGTTCCCATTCAGACAAAGAGCCTAATGAGCTGCAGCCTGACGTAACCAGGACCTGAGTCCAGGTCGCTGAGGCCCTCTGGGCTCTGAGCCTGTCTGTGCTTTTTAAAGGAAAGAAGTTGAATTGTGACACTTTCTTCCTCATCAGATCACCTCTCATCACACTTCCTCCTCTGATGCTCTGCAGAGCGACTCCTCACTTCATGTCAAGCTTTGTTTTAGATCATTGTCATTTTCCCAACTGCATAAAATCACATAAGCTCAGACCATTTTAAAATATTAATGCCCCAAAGGGCAAAACCCAAAACTTCTTCAGAGCCATGTGCAGCTCTGTTCTCCTGATCAGAACCTTTACATGAATGAAAAGACCCAAAACAGTGACAAGGCAGGAAACAGCGACTTGTTTTCAACATTTTTTTTATTAAAATTATTATTATTAATATTCAATAAATAGCAAATAACAGAATAAATAACTAAATAAACGTGTAATGAGCAGCAGCATCAGCTTCTGTCTGAGAAACGTCCAGTTTGTCTACAGTGCAGGTGGAGAGTCAATCTCACGCTTCACTTCAAGTTTTCATAGTTCAAGTTTCAGTTCGTTGTCAGTTTTCACAGTTCTGGTTCTGTTCTGGTTCTTCAGTTTGCAGCCTGTCGGAGCTCCGGCGCTCAGCGGGCCGCCGGCAGGGACTGGCCGGTGCGCGGAGCTCCTTCCCCGGCGGCGCCGCTCAGGACGCACCGCTGCTCTCCGGAGGCTACAGGATCAAGTCCAGCTCGGGTCGTGGTGGATCCCGGGAGCCCAGTTCGGGCGGGTTACAGTCCAGCCGGAGCGGTTCACTTGTCGCTGCCCAGCCGGTGGTAGACCAGCAGGGCCACCACGTAGCTCTTGCCGGCGCTCTGCTCGAAGCTGCGGCCGCCGTCGGGCTCCTGGCCGGCCTGGGGGCAGCTGTTCCCGATCATCTGCTCGCTGGACGCGTCCTCGCAGCGGCTCGGCGCCGCGGTCAGCAGGTCGGAGCCGAACTGCTCCTCCGGAGCCTGGAAGGGGAAGCCCTGGTAGTCGCCGGCCGGGCCGTCGACGGCGGTCAGCGGCGCGTCTGCGCACGGCTCCTCGGTGTAGATCTGCCACAGGACCACCAGACACAGAACCAGCAGCCAGCGCTTGGCCTGGTTCTTCTCCGGCGGCGGCAGGTGCATGCGGACCTTGGCGGGGTACATGACCCGGGTGCAGCGCTTCTTGGGCCGGATGGGCACCGTGGAGCGCAGCGCCGTGGCCTGAGCCGGGATCCGCTCGAAGGTGAACACCTCCGGCTCGGTGCTCCGGGAGGCCACCCGGGGGAAGGCGAAGCTCTCCTGGACGGTGAGCGTGGAGCTTGTGGATCGAGTGTACATCTTGTCTGAGTTCTGGTTTCTTTCGTGGGCTCTGAGCTGCTCTCTGGTGCGGGTTCAGAATGCTGGAGGTCCGGGGACGCGCGGCTTTATGCCGGAGCTCAGGTTGTGTGTTTGAGAAACGCCCCGCCGCTGCTGGAGGCCACTCCCTGCTGCTGCTGCTGCTGCTGCTGCCGCTGGTTGCTCAACTGGGAAAAAAACCCGGAAAATTTGCATATTTCTGCGGTCATCCAGACCGATGAGCTGCGGCCTGGAGCTGAATCATCGGCCGGTGAGGTTCTGTGGATGTGATCCTGTCAGAGTCCACAAAGATCCTTTAACCTCCAACAACCACAAACAGAACAAGGAGCAGCCAGGACTTCTGGTCTCATGTACATTTATAAAGTTTTCTCCTGAAATCAGCTGACAGTGATCAGGATTGTCCAGTGAAACCCCCGCAGTGTGTTTATGGTAAAGCTCCACATGATGAGCTCCAGTTTACAGAAAACCAGTCACATGATGGAAACTGACTGAAGGTTTTATTTCTGCTCAACACAAGAACTGAAAGCTGAGCAATAAATAAATCAACCTGTTGCTTCCAGCTGCAGCTTCATGTGGAAAACATTTAAAAAAGACAGAATATTTATGCAGAAGTCTTTCTCAAAGTGCATTTAAAGTAAACATGTGGTTAATGTTCAGTCAGTGTGGGCGATGTTTTTATTATTTAAGGGAGTTTATAAATGTACAGATTACCTCCCAGAACAGAAACGTTTTAGAAATGTGTTTGACTGTAAAACTGTTCAGCAACATGACAGCAGATCTCTGTCAAATAATGATGTTTTTGTGGGTTTTAATGAAGTAAATCTTCATTTTAAAGCAAATTTAATGATTAATGTCTGAAGAAGTGGATTAAAACTAAATAAATGTCTCGTGTTTGATGACAGAAATCCAATAATTTTATAGTTTGACTGTTTGAATAGTTTAAAAAAAGTGAAATATTTCAGATTTCTAAGTAAAGTTAGCTGATAAAACTCATTTACTTGATGCGATAAAGCAAAACCACCAGTTTTACAGCAGTTCTTTTTGTTTGATATCAAATTAAAGAACAAAACTGCAGCATGAAGCCTGATTATTTGTAATTGAACCCTTTTCAACCATATTTAAAGGTCATTTAATTGTTTTATATGATTAAACAGCCTTCAGTATGTGAACTGAAGGCTGGAATCTGAGTTTAATGATGGAAAATTGCAGTTTTTCTGTTGTTTTCTGTTATTTTGCTGAACTTTTTGGAGACTCCTGTGTTTTTTTTCCACATTGCAGATCATCTTAACAAACAAAAGCCACAAAATAATCTACAAATAGTGAATTTAAAGGTGTTTGAATCCAGTGTTTGAAGCTGTTTTTTCATTAACGTCATAATTAAACTTTTTTCTTTCTGCTGTTTTGGGCTGAGAGATGTTATTAAAGAGGAAAAACCCAGAACCAGAGTTCATCATCGGGGAAACCGGAGCTTGTGAATCATTTCTTCACATCCTTCCTTGTTTTTTTTCTCCTATTTTCTAACTCATTCTTGTGTAAAATGCTTTCAAACTGTTGAAACTTGTTCAGCGGAGCGGAGCTGCAGAGCCAGAAGCTCGGCCAGATCTGCACATTATCTTCTCACGTAATTACTTCCAGATTTGTTGGAAAGTGCATCTCATCCCAGCGTGTTCAGTCTTTCCTCATCGACTCTCAGTTTCTCCTGTTTGTCACTGGTTCTGATGAAAACAGCTCAGTGGTTGTTTCAGTAAACATCAGTTTATATCTGAGAGCTCTGCAGGACCCGACCTGCCCGGCGTCCCGTCACCAACCCTCCAGGAAGAAAACCGGATTTATTCTGCACCGAGATCAGCTGCAGCGCTCACAGTCGCTGGTTTACATTAAAACCTGCCATCACATTGATGATTCTTCACATTGAAACTGGAATAAATCCGCCGTTCAGCCTTTTTACTCTCCGGCTCTGCAGCTCCGCTCTGCTGTCAGCAGCTGAAGTGAACAAGTTTCAACAGTCTGAAAGCATTTTTCACAAGAATAAGTTCAACATAGGAGAAAAAAAAACAAGGAAGGATGTGAAGAAATGATTCACAAACTCCGGTTTCCCTGATGATGAACTCTGGTTCTGGGTTTTTCCTCTTTAATAACATCCCTCAGCCTGTTAAAAACACTGGAGTCCCCAAAAAGTGCTGCAAAATCACAGAAAACAACTGTCTTCTGCAATTTTCCATCATTAAATGTACATATTGAAGGCTGTTTAAACGTATAAAACAATGAAATGACCTCTAAATATGGTTGAAAAGGGTTAAATTAGAAACAATCAGGCTTCGTGCTGCAGATAAAATGCTGCTATTGGTTGAGTTTTGTTGTTCAAGTTGATGTGAAATTTTGCTTTAAAGTGCCAGAATATTGAGTTTATTGTGGATCATATGAGGTGTGATCTGAGCTGTTCGTCTTTATTGAAGCCTCAGCAGACAGAGAAGAGCTGGATCTGATCTTTGCTCTGCAGAGAGGAGCTATTATTAGCGCTCATCTTAATGCCAGTGTTTGTCATTCGGAGAAGACGACGTTCTTTAAATGCCTGTTGAGTATTTCTCACCTCCTGCATGCTCGACATACCGCCGGCGCTTTTCACATCCTTTTAGTTTCGCTGTGAGACTCGACAGAAAGAATCTGAACCATCCGAGGCATCTGGAGCGCTTCAGGTATTCTGCTGCAGGATGTCGCACACATTCATCGCTTAGGTGTCGCAATCCGACAGGAAAGTCGATTAAGAAACAATCCAGCTTCTGTTCCTGACGAGTCGGGAACCGCTCAGTGCAGATCCAGGAGAACAAACTGCAGACCTTTAGCTGCATCCCGCGCTCTGCTCCCACGTCCAGTCCGGTTTGTTTGCAGGAGCGCTGGGAGCAGAGCGGAGCTGCACAGCGACGCTATCTGAGGAACGTCGCTGAATTTAAATCAGCTTTTCTTTTAGAACTTCTGACCACAAACTGTGAGACCCTTTTTATAAAAACAGAACTGAAAAGATGTCGTAGTTCTGCAGGACGGGCCTCCCGATGGAGTCGTTCCTGTGCAATCGATTAAACGACCAAACACCAACAGACACCCAGAACCCGGGTCCTCGCTGTCCACCTCAAAGCTACGTTCTTATACAACGAAACAACGTCTTCATTTACGTTTCGAGGGCGTAGTTTAGTAAACCAGAGTCTGGACGCTTCACCCAGCGGGCAGCGTTTACAGCAGAGTTAAGTTTCAGTTTCTGTCGTTGTTTATGTTTTGGTTTCCGCTCACCGTCTGGTTCCGTTTACGGGAAAAGAAATCAAGCTTGGTTCAGTCCAGGAAAAACGTCCTGGTTTGGGTTAAGATACGAGTCTTTCATCTTCTGGGGTGACCAGTTCATCTAAGAGGCGACTGTTGGGCTGAAAGTGTGCGACAGCGAAGCAGTGAAATCCAAACAGAATCCAGCAGAAAACGAGTTTCCCTCCAAACAGAACCGAGAGCTGCTCAGCTGTGGAGATTAATACATACGTCTATTAATGAATAGAGGTTGCTAAACTTAATTTAAATCATATTTCAGGACTGATTTGAAGATTTTCTGGTTGGTTTTTAAGGTTTTGTTCATCGTCACGCGTCGGTTCCAGATGCTGCTGGATGTTCTGAGATCGAAGCATGAAGGATCAAGTTACTGAGCTCAGAACCGCCATGAAGCGGACTCAGGCCCGAGCTAACCCGAACGTTGTGCAGACTGGGCTTAAAGCTGATCCCAGGCCTGAGTTTGTCTCGGTGGAGATGGATGAGGTTGTAGCTTAACTGCACTGGAATGTAACGTCGTGCAGACTGGGCTTAAAGCTGATCTCAGCGCTGAGCTCCAAAACCTCCACAGGTGCCTCGCCAAGTCCAACGCTCGAGTCTGGACCTGCGGAGCGAGCAGCAGAACCTCTGGGTGGTCCGATCTTCTGTCGGCAGCCTGACAGATTCCTGAAGCTTCACCTTCGCTCGCTCTGCTTCCAAATACGGCAGCGAGTCGACTCAGCGCCTCGGGCAGCGACTGGAAGGTGACACGCTGCAGAACCGACCCGGCGCTCTGCCCCAGATACCCAGAAGATACATAAATCTGACAACTCAGAACAAACATGAGCGAGACGGCAGAACTCGCAGCTCCGTGGTAAATATTTTATTATGATAACATCCGTCCTCCGTCTGGTTCGTTGTTGACGTCTCACTGTTCAGACTTCTCGATGACTTCACGGCTGCTCGGTTGTTCTGTGTCGATGATGTCATGATACAAGAACATCACGTGGTCGTTGCTGCGTTTTCTGGATCAGCAGAAAGAGACATAAAATAAAACAACAGGGACACAAAATGACCTCAGACAGAAAAATCAACCACAAAGAGACAAAAAAAACATCATAAAGACACAAGAGACAACTGTGCAGAGAAAAAATGTCAGAAAATAGGCTCAAAGTGACGAGAAATAGACGCAAAATTATCACAAAACCACACAAAATGACCAAAAAGAGGCACAAAACAACCACAGAACCACACAAAACTACAAAATGACACAAAACAACCACAAACAGATGCAAAATGATTTAAAAAAACACACACAAAACTACGAAAGACACCTGAAGTGACTGTGTAAAGAAGTAAATGCAAGAAAACAGACACAAAACGACCACAAATAGATGTAAAAAGTTTTTTTTTTTAAAAACACACACACAAAATGACCCAAAATAGGAGCAAAACGATCACAAATAGATGTGAAACAACCGCAAACAAACGTAAGACGACCAAAGAGACACAAAATGACCACAAAGAGACACAAAACTACATAAAGATGCTTGAAATTACTGCGTAAAAATGTAAATGCAAGAAAATAGGCAGAAGATGACCACAAAAACACACAACAGGACCACTAACAGATGCAAAACAACAGCAGGAAGACACACAAACACTTCATAAAACATTTTTCTGCGTTTATTTTGCATTAAATCCCAGCAGCTGGAGGAGAAGCTTGTGTTTGTGGTAAAGCAGCAGCTGCTCTTCTACAGTTTTAATGCTTTGTTTCAGGCGACAG